ATTGGATGATTGTATGAGTACTCTGACTGGATAATCTTGAGTTCATATTCAATCTATGCATGTTTTCATGATTCAATTATGCTTTAGTCGAGATTATTGATTCTGCTTTGATTCTATGAGAGGGAATACCTGATTAGGTCAATAGAGCACCATAGATTGATAGTAGTGGATCGATTGCTTTAGTCGAGGGTTGATTCACCGCTTTGTATCGATTGAGAACCTCTTTCGATAGAGGGAGTCTAGTTCAGAACGCCTTGATCAGTTGTTCTAGAGAAGGATACGTCCCTCTAGGCAATTGACTCAAGAGGGCCTTGTTCCTTTAGTCGAGACTCAAGGTCTAGTCAAGGATTCTCCGCATTGTGAATGAAAGTGAAACAGGTTAGAGATCATCAATCATTAATCTGGCTAGTGGCTAGGGGGAATCATACCTAAGTGAGTTCCCAACCTGTAATTAGATTAACTTTAACTGTAGTTTGCTAGAGTAGTTTTAGTTCTTTCATCTTAATCTGATTTGCTAAATAATAAACTGAAGCTGAGTAATAGTAACTCTAGAGACCCGTGGATTCGATATTTATCACTTGAGCCACTATACTGCAGTCCCTTTCATTGGTTACACTTGGCCTTTGTTAGGTGTTGTGTTTTAGAGCACCAATCATTCATGCAAAAATCCACAAATCTCCTCCCCCAAGAACCCTAGATCTGATTCTCCAAAATTGACAAATTAAAAGTTCAAAACACACATGGAAACTCAAGTATGATCTAAGAGGAAGGTGAGGAAGTCAAAATTCAGCCAAAAGTGTGGTCGCAGAACTACATCGGTGACAAAATTGAGCTCAAAACTTCCCAAAAGCTGGACGAAGATGCGCCTCGGCTAGGGAAGAATGTGAATGTGTTTGGTTTTTGTATTGGGCAACTTGAAGTAGAGCAAATCGACGAAAAATTGTATGAGATGACGACTTCCAGTGAGGTGCGATGAGCTTTCTGAAGAGGGTGAAGTTCAAGTTTGATAAATACTATGCCCTTTTGTGTTGTCTGAAGACAAGGATCACGGGTCCTAATAAGCAAACCGTGACCTCACCTAAAAATGGTGATATTTTTATATGTAACCCACGATGTCTGCACCATTGGCCAAAATCCATATCTATATCACGGGATTTTGGTAATTGGCATAGTTCAAGGGCGTGATCATTACACTAAAAGCGTGATGTGTGCAAAAACAGAGGATTTCACCAATTTTCAAACTCGATCAATACAATCATCAATCAAAAACATCAACCATGCACAAGGTGATTATTCAAAATTCACACTTATATCTAACGCACACAAAAAGAGAAAAATAAGGAAAATAAATACAAACCAACATTGGGTTGCCACCCAAAAAGCGCTTGTTTATCGTCCTTAGCTAGATGTTCTAGATCTTGATGGTTTGAACATGAGTCCACCGAGAGTGGATCCGCCACACTCTCGAGTGATATGATCCAAAATAGGCCATTCTATAAGTTGGAATTACTTGACGAAGAAGCAAGCTCATGCGTGAAGAACACTAATTCTTGTATAAGTATTTTAACTGTTGAGGTAGTCTACTTTGCAAGCCTATTACTCTCAATTGCCTTGGTGGAAATTCAATTTTAAGAGCTTTTATTGAAGATGGAGTGTCCTTATACACATTGGTATGCTTGGAAGCTCAAGGGGAAGTCTAGAAGGTCATTTTCCAAGCTCACCAAAATCCACTGTCAACGCAGAAAAACTGTCAGAATTTGGCTAATGCAGAAAACGTGTTCGTGAAGCCTATTTTGGAGAACTATTCTAGAAGCACGAATGAGAGTTGAGTCTATAGGAAGAAAGTGACGAGCAAGAAGAGAGAAGAATCTAGGGTTTCACTCCAAGTCAAGGATTTGGGAAAATCTTCCCTAAAGGAAGATCTCTTCTACACAAGGAAGCATCTCCATGATGATTTTTCTTCTTTCTACTTTGGCAGCTTTATTCGAATTCCTTGGCCTAGGGACCGAGAGAGTGATGTTCCATCAGTAGCTACACTTTACTTACGATTCTCAATCACCTCCATCATACTTTTTTAGTCATTCCAAAAAGTCATGATAGCGAGTTAGGGGTGAATCCTTCTCATTTAAGAGTCAAAACCAATTACTTTTACAACTGTTTAATAGTAGATCGTAGTTTTCAATCAAACAACCAATCACTAGATAATGTTTCAAACAATCGAAGTAGGGGTAAATGGTCCAGCTCGGGTTGATATTTAAACATACTTGCCCTATATTGCACCCAATTAAGGTTTATACTTAGGCCCTAATTGGGAGTTTTATTGTGATATTCGGGACGAGTCAAGCATTGCAAAGCGATAGAGGTTGCGTTATGCTCTTTTAACAGAGGTCTTCTCTCACATCCTTGTGGTGGGGGATTCAGTTTCCTCATCTAATTGCGATTATGTGAAGCCTTACCATCCCAATGCAAGTCATGAAGGTATGATGCATTGGTTGATGATATCTCCGGGTAATCCGCAGTTTTATATCCTCCTGAGATATGCCATAGTCTTGAAGTTACTTGGCTCTAAGCTCAATAATTGCTAGAAGGGTGATTCTCGAATCTTCTATAGGCCTTAGGAGGATATAGAGGTCGTGAGTTCTGGTACCCCTAACTAGGGATAATGAAATCATGAGCTTGAGGATAGCGAGTTCCTAGAAATTCAACCTCTTGGATTGAGTTATGCGACAGGGTCATGAGTTCTATAGCCCTACAGTTATTCCCATCATGACCATCCTCACCGCATTGCTCGCAACCAATGAGTTGTGCGACAGGGGTGTTTCAAATCATCTTTAGTGCTTGCACCTCTTTAAAAACAAAAAAAATTCTCTGCTAAGGCAACCAATGAGGCATATAGTTATTGTACCATCTTTACTATCGCATGAACAGTCCTCCTCGACTAGTTTCGATACTTGGCAGCTATAGATGAATATTGTTGATGAGCATGGGGAGCAGTCATTTGAGATACATCACCTTCGACAGATTGATTGACCATCACGATGGTGTTTAGGTGAGGGCCTTGCCAAAGATGTAGGCCACTTGTTCTTGTGCAAATCCATGATAAGGTCAAGAATGAAGCAACCCTTGGTAGAGCTCTCATGCTTTGTACAATGACTCATGAGGTTGTTGCCGAAATCAAGCAATTTGGTCTCTTAGCTCATCGGTTTTCCACGGAGGGAAGAACTCCTCGAAGAAATCTTGGACCAACGCCTCCCACGTGTAAAATTACCCATGTGGTTGGCAATATAGCTAGCTCTTTGACTTTCCCCAAGAGAGAAAGGAAGAGTCGCGGTCGTATTGCGTTGAGCTCCACACCTGGCAGCTGTGAAGAATCACATATTTTCGGAAATGTTTTGATATGCTGACCAGATTCCCTTTATCACGGCCCTAAAAAATTCCAGTAATCTGAACCATTGAGATCATTGAAGTACGCAACTCAAAATTTGGTATATTGATCTGACAAAGGATGTTGGCAACTTGATGCCTTGTTTACTCGTAGAGAGTTCGTTCAACCATACCTCTAAGTGATGGGGATTTATAGGGAGAGAAGTTACTCTCGACTTCCAAACCTTCGTCGAAGAGAGGGTTAGAGTGTATAGCAGTAACCAACTGCTTCTTTCCCCTTTTATTTCTCAGAGGATTTGACCTTTGATCGGATGAAACAAAAGTACAAATCTTATAAACAGGAACTTGAGCAAGCCTTTTCTAGGGAGAGAAACTCATAGCTACTATCTCATCTGGCCATTCAAAAAGCTCCAAACTTGTTGCTAGTGAATTCGTAAGCTCCAATATAACTTTCTAACGAAGTAGAAGTGCCACGTCAAACGGTGGCTGAGGCGTCGTTTTTGGTCATGGGCCATAATTGGGAGAGCCATTTTCATAAGCTGGTCTTCTCTTGCAGTCTCGGCTCCATGAACTGGATGTCCCCTTCCGCTACCAAGCAGTCCACTAGTATGATTTGACCTGAAAAATGCTTGGATCATAATACAGGGACACATGATAGACAATTCTATGTTTCGTTAGAATTTATTACTTCAATCTACAAATGACACATCAGTTGGGGTGCGATGAGCATGAGAAGAGGGAGGTGAGGCGGCGGTGGCGTAGGGGTTTAGACTAGTGTTATTGTTGGGGGCTAGAGTGAGAGGGAGAAAGGAAAAAGGGATGAGAGATTCTGATTTTTTTATTGTTAGTGGATCTCATATTATATGAAAAATGAGAGATGGATCACAGGTTCGAAGTGTTTTTATTTCAAAATTTCCCTAGACTTATTAATCTGCACCATTAATTTGAAAATATGAAGAAAGAGAAGGGAAGAGAAGGCTAAGATATGGGTGTCAAAAAGGGCAACTCTCTTAGGGGTTGTCACCGTATGTCATTCTATAAAAATGGTAAGTCACAGTGAGTTTGAAATTTCATTGGCAAAGCCTAATTAAGATTTCCTCTCTCTAGCTTGTCACTTAACCTAAATAATTTTTTTCTTCTTCCATATCAATTAGAGAAATTCTCTCTAGTTTTATCTGTCTATAGTTAGATCAGTCGTAATTTTGACCTTTTCAAACCAATTGTATAGGGGGAAAAAACAAAATTTGTTTCTTTATAGCTCTCTCTAATTTATCTAAGACGATAAATATGATAATTCGTGTTCAAACTATTTAGTATGTTAACATCGTAGATTCCAATGTCAGCTCCATAACAATTTACTTGTTGTCTAAAGGTAAACAGTAAAACAAAACATCAATTCAAAGTCTCAAATATGTAATGTGTTTTCAAACAATGGATAACAAAATAAGGAAAAACAAAGCTTAATGGGAATGAATTTCATCGGAAAAAACAGAAACTACATCAGAAACACAACCTACACTAACTAATTGTTGAATTGGAAGAATTACCACTGTATTAATTTATCTTTCGTTCCCCGAAATGTTGAAAAGCAATCAATTAGATTCAAGATCAATAGTCTTCATCTTCATCTTCCCATTTCTTTGTTAAAAATTATCCCTTTTTTCAAAGATCAACAAGATGGGATGTGGATCATCTAAACTATCACATATTGGAGATGTGATAATGGTGCCAACAAAGATACGACCAATGATAGTGCGAAAGATGGAGGAATTAAAAAGGCATGCTAGGAATTCTAGGGGCTCCGGCGCTTCAAGGAAAGAGCTTCTCAAGGACACCAGTGGATATCATAATAGTGATTTCTACGTCGACAGCAGTAGAGGATCCTCCACCACCGTAGGAGATAATAGCCTCAAACATGGAAAAAATACACATATGTCATCAGAACAGTGTGAGGAATTCAAAGATGCAGTAGAGAGTTTGTCAGAAACACATGATTCGCGGCCTCTAAAAGAAGTTATGCCCATACAATTGGAGGAGAAGGTTAATAAAGTTGCGTTGGAGTTCCTTGCATGGAGCGAGATGAGAGCTGAATCTAAGAAGTATATGGAGGAAGAGATGGTGGAGGTTGTTGAGGATGAGGAGGAAAATAGCGAAGATGAAGATCTTATTCAACGACAGATATCCCCCGGGTCTCCAAGCTTCAGGGTGTATTACATTGAGTCGTTAGCTTCCACAATGAAGGATGTTGATAGCTTTGAGGAGTTGGATGATGAGATTGAGAATGAAATACATAGGGACATAGAGAAGAAAGAGGGCTCTAATATGATATCAGAGGAACTTGTCAAACGTAAAAAGGTAGGGAATTTTTGCATCTTATGACAATAAAGTTTAGACTTGCTTTCTTTTCTTGGTTATATAATATGATCTTCTAAAAAAATTAAGACAATTTTTTGTACAACAGGGGATAATGAGAACGATGAGGAAGCAGGGAGGGAAGCTGAAGAGGGTAATAATAACAAAATCCAAACCAACGACTACCACCAAAATGTTGAAGGTGTCATCATGAAGTGAAAAATCTAAAAAATGAATTACTGCTTCAAAATCAAATGTTTGATCCTTTTCAAATTATTCTTTCCTAGATTGTTGAAACTTTTTAGTCTACACATGTTTCTCAAAATATTTTGTTCTCCCTCTCACTTGATATCTTTTTTCTCAATCAATTTTTTATTAAAGAGAAGGAGGAAGAACAAAGTAAACAAATCTAGATGTATGACATCAATCCATGTGTTTGCAATTGCGCTGAATGATACATATTCTATCCTCGTTCTATATATATACTAGGAATTATATTCGCATGATACAGCGACTGGTTGGATAAGAGAGCACTTCATGTGTGCAATTTATTTTGATAATTTTTCATTAAGTTAAACTATAAGAAGAAAAATATAAATAATAAGAATATAAGAGAAAATTATTGAGTTTTGAAAATCCTCCTACTTCAAGATTAAAGAGCTATCAATGTATTGTCCACTCTTTGGCACTCCTTCTATTTGTGGGCCCAGAAGATTATCGAAACCCAAATTCGGAATTGGTTTTTTCATTCCTCACAATCACCAGACCACTTATCCCTTTCTCATCAATCCTCAACCCTTAGACATAAACAACTCCGACTATGTTGATTTCTATACCTTTTTTTTTTGCTCCTCTTCTCTTTTGTTGTCCCATTTTTAATATGAAAATTTTCTCTTCTCTTTTTCTTCAAGATCGCCTCTCTCGCTGAGATCGCCAAACACCTCTTCCACATTTAAAATTTGCGATGATAGTCACCGGTTATTGCACTTCTCTTCTCATACTAATATTCTCTTTCTTGCTTCTCCTTTTCTTTTTAGATTCCAGGCAAAATAAAATTGAAGGGAAGTAACATATGGAATATCAACATTGTTTATCTTAACATGCAGATATCCTAGCGACTCCCGATCATTGTAGTTGTCGAATAGGTGTTTTGCAGTTTTAATTTTAGCATCAACTGCTGCTTGTTACATCTCTCCCAATTTCCTTCATCATTAACCCAGTGAAACAAAAATGGAGCGGGATCCCCAAGGAAGGGGTCATATGGGAGAAGGTAAGAGAACAATGCAGAATCTGCTTGCTCTGACAGGCAACGGTGCTGTTGCTCGTCAATAAAAAGAAAGGGGTAAACACAGCTTGACATGCATCTCGGTTCGATTTTCCAAAATTTTTCTTGAATTTCTTCTAACTGATGATCAATCAATTGTCATGAAAATCCCGATTTCTCATATGGATTGTCTACGGTTCGTGATTATAAAAAAAGTTATGAATTGATGCTACTACCAATCTTATTGGTCCATTTTTCCAATCTAATTGCCACATTCTTGTATCACTAAGACTGGTCTCAAATAGAGAGGTCCATCTGAAAATGGATCATTGTCTCAAAAGTCAATGGGGGGTTTAGCTCAACCCAACAAATTTTATTGAAAATAACACATTACAATAATACTTATTTTAGCGAACAGTAATGGGGTATTTAGCTTTATATATATCAATATCTTAGTGAACAGTAACGCGTATTTAGCTTTATATATATTAATATAGTTTTTCCTATTCTTCCCCTATTTTTATTCATCGTTATTTCCCCTATTTCTCCCACTATGTTCCACGAAGGTAGATACTAAAAAAGTTACGATTAAGGTTGTGTGGGACTTATTGGCTACGCCAAAGAAAGAGGGCAGTATGGGATTGTGTGACCTCCGAACTTGGAACATTGCCTATTTGGCTCGTCTCTTGTGGTTGCGAGCTCAAGCTTTTGGGTGGCATGGGTGAGGCGCTATAGGCTGCGATCTCGATCTATTTGCGAGCTGCAGCCTACCATGGCTGGATCCTGGCTATGGAGACAACTATGTAAGCTTTGTGGGTGGTATCAATATAGAATGATTGTAAATGCACAAATTCGGGTCTTCTGGGAGGCAAACTTATGCAAAGGTTTTCGGTGCAACAATTCTGGGAGTCCATTCAGGTGCATAGACTTCTGTTTCCATGGTGGCAGGTGATTTGGGGTAAGTATACTCTCCCCATAAATAGATTTATTGTGTGGCTTATCATTTTAAATCGAATAGTGATACAAGCTCAAGAAGTGGGGTAAGATCAATGAGGTAGTGTGTTTACTTTGTGATATAGAGGAAGAAAGCCGCTCTCATTTGTTCTGTAGTTGTGAGTATACTGGGCACTTGTTTGCTGCGGGTTCTGATTGTGAGCAAATGCTACAAGAGATGTGTTCCGTGACTAAGAATGGTAGAGATGGTTTTGTGATGAGTGCAGTTTGGTTTGGAAGGAGAGATGTAGACATGTTTTAAGAGAGATTCCCAAGCCATGGGAGGTTGTCTTCTTGCAATTACGTGAGGAGGTTTGGTTACTAGCACAAGGAAATTTACGATATAAAGATGCTGTGAGGCAGAGTAGAGTGGTAGGAAGATTAAATCTACACTTTTGATTTTGGGAGTTTTCCACTGTAAGATGTAAATCTGAGTTTTTGTGCGACTTGATCGTGTTTATCAAGTGAGCTTAATGGAAGAAATAATTACCGGAAAAAAATCCTTACATGGTTTCTGTATTCCAAACCTCGATTTCCGATATGGATTTTTCTGGTTAGTGATGATTAAAAAGAGTTACAAATAGATTTTATTTGTCCATTTTTTCCCATATAATTGCCCCATTACTGGTATCGTTGAGATATGTCTCAAACATATAATTTCATAGGGCCGTGGAGTTAAGCCAACCCAACAGAGTTAACTGAAAGCAAAACATTATAATAATACATATCTTAGTGAACACTAATGAGTATTTAGCTTTATATATGATTATGTATTAACGAGACTGGGATTTCACGCTTTGTTGCGCCCAACAAATAGTGTACTTTGGAATTCAATTTTGATTTACCATATGGAATTGTGGGCTTCATGGAAAGGCTAAAATGTGTTATGACTTGTAACTAGGTTATGGTGCACCGCCCACTGTTAGGAGGACCGTCATTCAAGGTGCATCCAACAACTAAGATGAAAGATCCACTTCATTTATCAACCAAATCTCTTTAAAGTATAAGTTAGTGGATTGAGGGGCTCAGACTTCATTAATGGTCATGAAAAGTGGGACCTTTGTATCTAGAGAAGTTGCAGATTACATATTACATACATGTGGTATGTGTATATTCGAATTGAACAAAAATCATATTTCATATACGTGGTATGTGTATTCATTATTTAGACATGTTATATTCAGAATGAGAAGAACCCATATTAGAATATATACATATATATTTGAACTGAACAAAAAAACATATTCGAATTGGAAAAAAAATTAGTATATGTCGTATGTGTATTCATTGTTTACAACTTGTATACCCACCATTTTCACTATCTTCTCTCATTTACTTTAGAGATTTAATATATGTGGTATTTGTATTCATTGTTTTACAACTTGTATTCCCCCAATTTCCACTATCTTCTCTCATTTACTTTTTAGAATGTTGGTCCCAACTTCCACTATCTACTCCTCAAAATAAATCAGTGCCCTTAACTAAGTGGGTATTCATGTGGACCGTTAGATGCCCACGGAGAACCATTCTACAAATTGTTGGTGGAGAACCTGAACAAATTTTTGTGACTCGGCTATCAATACACTTAATCTCAACTATATGCCAAGTGCAACCTATAAAGGGTGTATGATTGGGTAAGTATTTCAATATCAACATGGGCGGTCTATCTACCCTTACATGTTATCTAGCAATCAAAATATAGTTAAGGCTAAGAAGACTTAGCAAATTAAACAAGCAAGCAATTAAACTTTAGTGAGTTCAATTGAGAAAGAATCACTCAGATATTGCTCCCTTAAGTCTCTTGTGGAGATACAATGAATGAAAATCTAGTGTAATAGGTAGGATCATATACCGGTAGGAGATCACAATAAGCTAGGGAGACCTCAAGCCTCTCAATTGATCGACTAAGGATTGTCACGATTAGGTAGGAAACCCGAAGCCTCTTAATCGATCGACCAAATTATACAAAATCTCTCCCTCAGAAAGTAATTTGGAAAGGAAAAAAGTAACCAATCAAGAAGATATCATGGTACGAATTCGATGAATTAGGAATAGCCCGAATTGCCCTAGAGTAGGTTACCCAAGATTAGGCTATAATGCTTTTTCCTTCTTGGTCAACTAGACCCAAAATAGAGATATGAACAATCAAACCCCAAATTCTATGACTAGTGTCCACAACATACATTGAATTCAATTCCTACAATCTAACATATCCTAGACTAGTGTCCACAACATCCAAGTGAAATTGGAGACTACTCTATAGCTAGAGGAGAAAATACAAATAAAAGAGAAGAAAAACACATAGCAAGATGAACTTCCTTCTTCTTAAATGCTTGATTCAACCATTAGAGAAGAAATTAACCTTCATCTAGCCTTGGGTAGGTGCAATTCTCCTTCCTTCTTCCTCAGCTCGTAGCTCTCTCTCTAAACCTTGAAGAAGAAGCTCCAAACTCTCTCTAGGACTCTCCCTTTCGAATTCAACTAACTATCCCTTATATAGGTCTTGAGTGCACAAATCATGATCTAACATCATGTCGTGAAGTCGACAAGGAAACTGTGATCTCGGCGGAAAAAACGTTGTTTTACTTACGAACTTCACGAGCCGCTTGTTGACTATAACACCCTAACCCGGCCGGGTACTACTTTTACTAAAATTCCCTTGATAAATAAAATACTCAATCTTAAATTTCAGCGAGAAGAATTTTCATAAATAAAATACTGAAAACACACATTTGTAGCTCAGAGCAAAGCCCTAACACGTGGGCAAATTAAACTCAAACTTTAAAATCTCAATCTGATCTCCATTCTATACTCATAATCATAAATGTAAATAACTAATAATCTCTAATGTTGTTGCTACTAAAACCTTGACCAAGCATCCTCTGTGACGCTTAAACTGCCCTCCTCTAGCTGCCTGCCCTCGAATTCGTTGCTCACTAAATGCTCCTCTAGCTCTTCCTCTAGCTCTTCAAACTGGTGAGTGAGATGGGGTCAGTCTACGCCCTTACGTTTTAATAATTCTAATACTTGAGTACTTTACATAAACACTTAACTTTGACTAGTGGAAGTTGTTTGTACTTCCAATCTTAAAACCTTAACTCTTAAACTTTGAGGGAGTTAAAGTTACTCTCCTCTCTTAAAGCTCAAATCTTGAATTAAATACTTGACTGACACGGGGATCCCTCACTAGCTAGTCCGGTTGCCAACTCATACGTATGAGAAGCCATCCAGGCTTTTCTTAAACTTAAACTTAGTTAGGGAAGTCGTAACGATTCATCCCCCTAACATCTTAAACTTATCGTGGTGGCTCTTCACCACGATTCTCAAGAGCATAACTGCTGCCCATCTTAAAAGTCTCAAGAGCATAACTGCTGCTCTGTCTCGAAGATCTCAAGAGCATAACTGCTGCTCTATCTGAAAATCTCAAATGGCAACGGACTGGCGCTAGTGACTAAAAACACTTAAAACGACTTCACCTTCTCGAAGGTGAGTTACTTCTTAAAAAGAACTTGTTTCTTAAACTTTAACAACTTATACTCTTAAAATTTCAAAGTAAGTAATAACCATTCTCTTCAAGTCATAACTCAAACAAGGCACATATCATCAACCATAACCAGGCAATCTCATACATGAATCAAAATGCTGCACATATATCACATAAAGCAATACTCGAAAATACTCCAGGCAATTGCTTGAAAATCGTAAGGCGTAGAATTTACCCCCTTTACATTCACCTTTGATTTTGTGCTTTTGCCCTAATTTGCCGACACCACAGGCTTGGTTAGGTGCCTCCTCTTGCCTTCTTAATAATGGTCGATGTCTACCGATCTCCTGCTGAATCGCAACCTGCTGAGTCGGCTCCTGCTTGCTTTGAACAATGGTCTTGCTTGCTTGAACAATTGCTCCGACTGAAATCGCAGCTAGCACCTCTCGGAGTAGAAAGAGTAGTTGACGTAGTAGGGAGGCAGCTGACAATTAAGTCCCAAACGCCCTTACCCACGTCCGGTAATGGTCGTGCTTGCTTTTTGCTGGTCAAGCAGAGCGCAATGTTGCTGTCGTAGTAGGCAGCCCGACCCCCCCCCCCCCCCACCACCACAGCAGACAATAACGGCATTAACACGGCCACGAACTTGCTTAAGCAAGCAGCTCTCGTAGTATAGATAGCAATGGCGCCTCTTTGCTTTCATATCAAGGAACGAAATGCTGCTCTGTTAGGGTTTTATTTGGGTTTAGTTCTTCAAGGAATTTTTTTAAATTCCACTATTACAAGCGAGTTTAATCCGAAACTCAATTAATGCCCATAACTTTCTCATTTTATGTTGAAATTTGACACCGCTTGAACCGATAGTTCACATTTTTAGTCCTCCTCGACATTACGGTGAAATTTGACAATTTGGACCGAGGGCATAATCGTCATTTTGGCTTAGCAAAAGATGGGGTGTAACATTGACATCACGGTCTGGAGATAGTGCGAATTGAAATAAACCTTAGTGCATCTCACGGATGTAATGTTCATGGTCTGGAAATAGCAAAAATTACACACAAACCGTGATGTGTGCAAAAACTGAGATTTCATCGACTTTCAACCCCGATCGACTATACTATGGCCCAAACACAAACACTACATACACACAGACCAAATCACAAGAACCGTGGGCACAGTTGTCACTTCAAACTCAAACCTTGACACTAATACTCACACGCACAAAATAAAGTGAAGGAAAAAAAACAATATTGGGTTGTCTCCCAACAAATCTTGACTGTAATACTCTTTAGATGGATGTTGACGGATCTCTTGCTTTATCACATAAAGCCACCGAGAGTAGATCTGCCACATTCTCGGGGTGAGGC